GAGGTGAGTGTAATTTGTGTCTGCATTTTCAAGGCCATCTCACGTAACTCGAAGGCCGTGTCTGATTTAAAATCGTACGCGAAACCAACGGGCAAATATCCACCAAAGAAGTCGGGGGGTGCATCCGAACAAGGGCAGGGCGCCTCGCCCCTACTGCAGTCCAAGCTTGTGCTCCTAATGCTGTCGTTCCCCCGTGTGCGCATTATCTGGGCGTCCTCGCCATACGCCACCGCGGAGATCTTCGCGGACCTGAAGGCGGGCATGCTCGAGCCCGACCCACGCAAAGCCATCGCGATCGGCGCGGAGGAGGACCCCGCCGCGGGTGCAGGCGTCAACGCCGCCGCGGAGGAGCTACTGCGTTGCCTGCCCGGGATCACTGCGAAAAATGTAAAGTATGTGACGTCGAAGATCAGAAATGTGCGCGAGCTGTGCGACATGAGCATGCCGGAGGTGCAGGTCATCCTCGGGATCGAGCCGGGAAAGGCGTGTTGGGAGTTTATGCACCGTGGAGAGGGAAGGGATTAAGCGGAAGGCGGAAGGAGGTATATATAGGTCGTTCTTGTATGTTATATCATCCATCCCTAATTGTCTGATTTATCTCTGTATATAATATCAGGCTAGGCTCGTTGACGATTTCTACCCCTGGAAGGAACCTCTGCTGCCAGTCGAATTGTTGGGTAGGAACGGGAATGAAGAAGACGCAGGGAAAAGCAGCAGATAGGCTAGAGCAACAGAACCCCCTCTGGCACGTTAGCACGCCACTTCTTATGTGCCGGTTGTTGATTTTGCAGTATATACGGATGCGGATTGGCTGGCGAGGGGAGCATGTACTATCCATATTTCTAATCTCTCACTGAGACACGAGGAGATTCTAGACAAAGTTTTGTTGGATGTGGTGCCTTCATACTTTCTTTTCCTCTCTTTCCGTCCGTGGTGCATATCTCAGGAAACATTACGTCCCTGGGCTTAAAGACCGTGGGAAACCCATCCATGGATGATCCAAGCTGGGCCCTAGAAGCGGAGACCAACCTATGGAGGGAGGTTCAGTTTTCATACCACAATGGGCGAAACCCTCGGGACGGGAGGCCGAGTATGTTGTAACTGAATCCGGTGCGATTCTCCGGATCTCTCCTCCATACTTTCTAAATAATGCGTAGGCAAGAAAGCAGAAACCCAGCTTGAGCCTTGTCGTCGCTGCGTACCATGCTTGCGAATTGCTATCAAGGCAACTTCCGAATTTTGAACTTCTCAACATCTCGTCTGATGCCACGCTGCCACGCATCACCGTGGCTGGCTTGATCTCGACGCTCTTCCTTGGCTCTTCCTCGACCCCCACGTCCTCAGGCTCACAAGACAATGAACACACAGCCAGGATCCAAGAAGAATCCGATAGCCTCCTCCTCCGCCGCCGCCCAGGCGCTTGCACAATGCGCCATTGCGCGGCGCGATACACCCTCCGCTGAGGCGAGGTACAATCTGCTCCAGGCGGAGAAAGACGCGCTGGCGGCAGAGAACGTATTCCTCAAGAAAATCGCAGAGATCAAGGATCAAGAGCTCAAAGAGTTAATGCGTTCCAAGCATGCCTTAGAGAAGGCTACGATGAACTCAAGACAGCGTATGATAAGGCCTGGGAACAGAACAAGGGGTTGGAGGAATCGGCGGTGGAGACCCGTGAGGCACTGCTCGCGGAATTCGCCTCACGCTTGGACGAGAAGAAATTAGAGAGGAGCGCAGCTGAAGAGGAGTTGCGGGCATACAAACAGGAGTTGCGCGCAGTCACAGAAACATTAACCATTCTCAATGCGAGCGTTGCTCCAGCTCCCTGTATATCCTTTTTTCTTGCACGCTCTGTTTTTCCCACTCATCACCTGATTCTAGCGGTGGGGATTACGCCGCAAGCTGAGACTGCTCAACAGGAGTTACCTACGTCAACGCCTCCAGCCCTCCCCGTACCCGTGGAGGTTCCCGCCACTGAATGTATGTCATCTTTTCCGATTTTTTATCAACCCGTTGTATTTAACAACCCCAGCCTCCGGCCGTGCTCCGCAGAGCTCGAAGGCGCCTGCTACGTCAACCATCAGGGCCGCGCGTTCGCATCCTGTAAGTTCCTCCCCCTACTTCTTTCGCCGGCGCTGGGTACTTATCACGTCCTCACCTAAGTATGCCTCCGTCAAGTCGGAATCCAGGTAAGTATCAATCCCCTCCCCCGCCTGCATACAACGACTGACCGCCTCATCGGTACGGTAGGGCGACCCCCAGCCGGACGTCAAGGTATGCGGCACAGTCCATCTTCGCAAGTGAATGATTTCTCACTCATGTGGTTCTTGTACTGCAGGCGCGTATCGGATCCTCCGCGCGACTTCAAAGGTGTTCCGTACGTTTACGGCCCGTCGTGTCTATGAAACCGCCGATGTAACCGTTGTTTCTCGTCATGTAACATCTTGTTCGATCCTGTCGGGTAAGCGTCAGAAGCATGCGTTTCGATTGGTTTTCCGGCTCATCTCACTCACGCCAGAACTGAGGTCGTTCGTCGTATTACCGGATGTATATTTATGGTCGGCATGTTTTTTGAGCAGGGATCACTGGAAGTCCCTATACATTTGATTCGCTCACTTGCACTCTGAGTTACGTAGTAGGAGAAAGGCGGTGCAGAGGTGAAAACCACTACTGTTGATTGGGACCCAAGCTGGATCATGCTGCATATCGGGACGTGGAAGCACTGGAAGGTTTCAATGAAATAGGGTCATCAGGAAAGAGAAGCCTGTATGCTCTGCCTTGAAGACATCCTTGAAGTAAAGGGGGGATTCAGTTCATGCGGTAAATGGTTGGAGAGAAGCACGCTCACTCTTTGAAAGGTCATTACCGAGCGGACAAGTTGCCCATACTGACTCAAGACTTCACGAAGCGGACAATATTTCGGCAGAATTTTCAAACAGTTGAATTTCGAAGATTGATTGGATACAATAGTTAGTAGGTCTCAACAATTTTCTTTCTTTCTTTGCCTTGACGGCTTGGCACCTTGTCTGCGATTATTATATTCCGTTTCCGCAGTTTATATTACTGACGCGTCTCTATAGCTAGCTACACGGAATTCACATCCATTACTTGAGGCAGAATTAGAACCTTACCCACTGTGAAACCAAACCAACATACTTATTCACGACACCGCCTGCGCCCCGATCATCTCCAACAACTTTTCCCACAACGCTGCGCGGTTCGTCGGATCCTGCGCCCAGTTGCCCAGACGGCCAGGATTGAGTGTGCGGCCGAAGTATCGCCCCGGCCCGAGCTCTCGTTCTGCCTCGGGCGCGACGAGGACCTGGGTGATGAAGAGCAATTACAAGTCAGTACATGATAGGTAGCTATCAGGAGGAAAGCTTGAGTCGTATCAGGATGCACCGCGAGCTGGATTGGGATACACCCCCCGCACTGTCTCACGAGTTGAAAAAGCCAACAGACTTACATATACAGGCAGGACGGCGTATTCGTCTGGCGTGGTGCCAATAAGCTTCAATGCTACCCACAAGGGTAATCGAGCGAGCGCGGGGAACAGGTTCATGTCGAATTCCTCCGTCTTGACGAGCCCTATGTATGTGGAGGGTTCAGCGAGGGCGACGCCGACAATGACGGAGGGGACGACGAAACGCACCAGGGTATAGGTGGAAGTAGCGGTATTGCGGGTAGCGGAGATTGAGTTCCTACGATTCAAGAAGTCAATCTTAAGTCAACAAGTGGTTGAAATGCAATAATGAATAAGGGTGGGTACCTCATGGAACGCATCGAGGACGCTGCTATCTCGCGCGGACTCCTCCATCCACGCTTTGACGTGGCTGCGCTTCGACGAGCGATGGCGCAGGGATAGATCGTCGACAGTGAGATCGTCGAGCGACTGGCCTTGGTTGCAGACCGACATGACGGCGGCGTTGGGGGCGAGCGCGCCGCGCGTAGTGAGCAGATACGCGAGGGCGAAACGGGAGACGGCCTGGATGGCGAAGGGGATGTCGTACCTGGCGAGTGGAATATGTAAGCAACGAAATAAATAGCGCCAACGTGCGTAAAGGAACGGCACTCACCCATCAGCATTGTCCACGATGGTTCCCGTAGGCGTGCCGCTTTGGGTCATAATCTGCGAAATGGGTGAGTTGAAGGATTAGCCGTTGATAATATAAATGACATACGAGATAATCGATTCCCGCATCTCCAGCCGCCGCCTGCAGCGCCGACGCCGCGTCCCGCATACCGTTGCTATCTCTTCCGCCCCCGGTTCGGACTCAGATAGTGCTTGTCTCAATGCTGGACTCACGAGAGATCCCCCTTGACGAACTCAACATTGACCTTGCTTTCCGCTGGCGCAATTGTCTTTAGCACCTCCAGGACTGCTGCCGCCCGTTTCGCATTGCGCCCGAAGATGATGATGCGGCTGCACCCGAGTTTCGAGAGGAGACGGGCGATGGCAGCACCGATCCCCAAAGTCCCGCCGACAATGACGGCGGTCTTGTTTTGTCCAACGAGGGAAACGGTTTGAAGTGCTTTGGCGACGTTGGGAGGCATTGCATTGGGGAACAGTGGGTTTGGGGAAGGGCTTTAAGGGAGCTGGGATGCGAATTAGCGACGGGCGCGGGTCTGCCAGACTCGTCGGAGCGGACCGGAGCGGGCAGATCTGTAACTCCTACATAGCCTTTCCACCTTGTTTCCACCCCGGATTGGAGTCAAGTTAGCAATCTGTAACACCTACACGGATGCATCCAGACAGCGGACGACAGGAAGGAACCAAGTCCAGCTGTTCAACGAGGCAGAGGTTGGGTGAAGGAAGCAAGAAGGAACGAAGAAGGAAGAAAACAAAAAAACGAACATCACGCGTCACATCACATCACCTGACCAAGTCGACGCGTCTGCATCAGCCAAACAGTCGCAATCAAATGGCATCGTGAGTCAGAATGAGTTGAACTTCGACAGGTTTCCAACGCGTTGTCGTTTTGTCGCCGAAGTGAAAAAGACGACAGCCTAGCCGGGAATTGAACTCGGAGTCTCCAGCTTCGGCCTTTGTGAGATGGCGACTGGCGTCGTTCCATTAGACCACAAGGCTGGTGTAACCTCATACATCCCGACAACTGTGTGTTGATGTACATCGACACTTTCACAGACAATACGGGCCGTGAATGTATGGAGCGCCTTTGAACTCGCGCGGAGGACCGTAGATTGTCATTCGAAGAAGCTGGATATGTACTTATGCATGCATACGTCTTCGTCCTAGGGCTGCCCACCGTCCCCGTAAAGACGGGTGTGACGGGTGCTGTCAACGGCATGCCGTCCCGTCCCGTCGAGCCTCTCTCCAGCAGCACTTGCGGGACGTTAATTGGCGGCCGTTGACGGCCGTACCCGTTAACGGGACGGTGGGCAGCCCTACTTCGTCCTAGATCAGTTCGAGGCTCGATGGATGGATCGGCCTGGTCGCTAATCCACTCCAGATGCTGTTAAACGGCGAAACGGCAAGTGTTCGGTTGAGTACATGCGCATGTTATCGATCTCGCCATACCTATCAGCGGACTGAACGGATTTCGACTAAAGCACTATGATAGCCACACCAGACTCGGACGGCAAAGATCGATCAGAAGTTCTGACGGGCATGGGCCTGAACTTTGAGTTGAACGATGAACCGTCACTTAACCTCAATGCTGAGAAAGTGGCTTTCCCTGCTACATTAATTTCCCCACTGTTTTTCTTTCCTGAGTAGTATGAGAGCAACTATGACTTCAACCTCGAGTCTTACATGGTCTTCCCGATGACGCTGCCCAGTCTCAGACCTGTTTCTACTTCCGCGGGCTTCTTCAATACATTGGTGATTCATTTTCGGGGTTTGTTTCCGCTCGGGTTCATCGGCTCCACAATCTGGTCTTAATGCCCCTGTTTAATATGGCTTCGTCAAATGTATAAGAGCTGCGCTGCTCAGCACTGTTCAACATCTCATCCTTTGAGTCATTCACCGGTCTTCCACTACAACCAACCTCCACTCACCTCCACTCCCCCTCCATCTAACGTCATGCTTTTCTCCTTCGCTCTTCTGTCCGCCACTCTCGCCGGGCTTTCGACGAGTGTTATGGGTATTCCCAAGTACGCAGACGCTCTTCCACTGCGCAGTATACAATTCTAATCAGTACATCCATGACAGGCCTGGACAAACCCTCTCCGAACGTGCTCCTTCGTGCCCCCCCGGAAACTTCTACAGCTCCACGGCTCCTCCTGGCTGCCGTGCCTGCCCCGCTGGTAACACCTGCAACGGCAACCAGGCCCCGCAGCCGTGTGACTATGGGCTGTACCAGCCTAGTAAGCCTCTAACCGCTTCTAATACATGAACAAAACTGAATCACTTAATAGGCATGGGGTCCACAGCATGCATAAAATCCCCCAAGGGATTCTACCAGCCTCAGAGGGGTCAAAATGGCACCCTCCCGTGCTACATCGGCAGCTACCAGCCTAGTGCGTATCTGCAGCCCTTTTCTTGATCGTCATCTTACATTTCCGCAGACCCAGGCCAGAAATTCTGCTACGGCGCACCGAGCGGTCGTTTCCAAGGCAAGACCGGGCAGGCGGGCGTGTGTGGCTCGTGCTGCGGCTGGGCGACGTCGATGTCGAATTTCAACACCGGCGTCTTCAAATGCGCGACCCCCACGCCCTTTTCTGGGCGCGCTTCAGGCTCGGGCTGCGTAAAGGCGAGACAGGGTTGCGATCCCGTCGCTACCTGCGCGCAGGCGGCGGATGGAACTTGCCGTGAGTTCCTGACCCATTCCTTTGCGTGGGCAATCTAATGTATCTTTACAGCCGACCAAACTTTCAACTAATCTGCAAGATGGGAGAGTGCTAGAAGTTTCTGACTTCCGCCACTTCCTTCGCCACCTTACCCTCGGACTTTTTCAATCTCAACTCCTCATCCCCTCGTCCATTTCTCGAGACGCTTTTCAACCATGCATTTTGCGTTGTACACTATACTGTAACGCCATCCCGTCCCGCTGCGGGCACGTTTGTTTTCTACTCCCATCCGTATCTGTTTCGAACCTTTGTAAACTAGATGACACCTATGATAATTATGAATCATGATCCATTTACGTCTCCTCATCCAGACCGTACACAGCTCGAGTTGTATCGCTGCTCGTGCCAGTTAAAGGATCAAACATGTGTTTGCAATCTTCCCTCAGCAACCGCATACCTCTCTTGATTCAAACGCCCGCCAAAGTTGGCCAGTCTCCCATCGATGGAACACGGGTTACCCGTGTTAACCCTTCAGCAGCTTGCCAGGAAGTGTGCATTTTCTACGTTCCTGTCAACTTATTCGGGTTTCGTCAGGTTGTGTTGGGCACAACTTGGATGTGAAATATATGTGAAATATACCAACTCCGACGCTTCTAGGCTCCAAAAAGCTAAAGATGATCAATCCAGTGAAGGAAATTACAAGCCCAGTGATTTCTCACACATGGGAAGAGGGTGCACTCACTGTACTCTGTCGGATGCTCGGAGCCTTATTTGATGCAGCGGACCTCGCAATCTGGGGCGCACTGTGTGCGTTCTTTTTTTTTGAGTTGCAGATCGTAATCCCAGGTTTCTGGTGGTTGTACGTTCACATGAAATCCGACTCTTGATTTTTGAAATTGCCACTGAATTCGAGTAGGCATCAAGTACTTTAACGGCCATTCGAACATCAACTTGAAGTGGATTCAAATGCTTCATGAGAGCTGCACCGAGCGCCGAACGGGTGGCGTCCAAACGGCAATACTGATCAAAATGGGTTATATTCACGACATTGAACATGAAGTAGAGCCCGAGCGGAGAAGGAACATCCTTGAGGACGAGAAGTACATAAAAAAGGCATCATTCTCTCTCCATCGACGATGCTCAAAGGGTGATGGGGATGCAGTTGATGGCGATGAGCCCACCTAAGAGCAAAGGAAATAAGTCCCGCTGAATTCGGCAAGGGAAGAAATCAGATACGAACCCCATTGCTTCGCGGGGGCCTCGCAGGTTACAGTGGTTCCACCGCTGGTGGTGATTGAGTTCGTATCAATTTTTGAACCATGCGTGACTACTTACCAGTTGTTGCCAATGACGGTGATGGGGGAGCAGCTCAAACCGATGGGAACGTTGAGGCCAGTCGCTGCTCGTGAATCGCCCCTGAAAAGTCAGCAGCAAAACAGTGCTGACTCGAGCGCTTGGCCCCAATTTTGTGGATGAATGGATTTCATAAGTTCTGCAGTGGGTACAGTGGAGCAGCAGGGCAGATACGAAGTCCGTGCTACATGTATCCCGACCTGGGAACCGGCTGTTTGCTCGGCGGAAGCCGAAAATAACTCGTAGCTCTAGGCTTCTCTATTGCAGCCATCTAGTGCGACCTGTGCACAGTCTTTACGGCTCTATTTTTTTTTTACCCAGTGGAAATAGAACGGGGCGGCTGGAGCCGCACCCCCCTATACGGGCTGTGCCCGCTAGAATTGGAAGGAATGAATCAAACGCATCAAAGACTGAATTTCACCTCCTGGGACAGTGTGAGGCTGATTCCGAAAAGTCAACAACTTGAGAGCCCCTATTCGTTTTCCAGATCGGGCTTGCGTGGAATGATGGCATCATCCTATCACTTCACTTCCCGGTTTTCCCCGAGTGCTTCTCCCGATCTCATTCAACAACTTCGAACCGCTGCATGATGTAAATATCTCGGAGGTCTTTTCGCTGGCAAGAGGCGAAATGGGCACATTTAATTCTCAAACTATCGGGACTTCCATCGGACTTCCGCGTTCAGAATGGCAATCACTGCAGGAACGTATATGATTTGTATATGATACGGTATATCCTCTTTCAGACTTGTTGCACTGCTGAATCCGCGGCAGTTTACCAAACCATATTTTGTGTCCTCCAATGATAATACATATAGCTACACGATGCTCCTTCCTCGAATTTCCTACATGCTCCGGACCCCGGGACACGGTGAGCGCCTTTATAATATCAATTGGGTTCCTTTTTTTTCGCTGAGCGCTTATCTCAATGAACTACGGAAACGATTCACGGCCCCGGTACTAGTCTGACTCGTTCCTCTACAGCCTAAGCGGAACAAAACAGGGACGGTGGTACTGCAGCCCCATTCAAGACAACACACGCTGGAAATGGTGGTCAGTCGGTATTTTTTTATTATAAGGAACAACCGAATGGTACATACTTCCTCTGACGGTGGCTCCATCCTGTTTGAATTTACATGAGTCTCCGGCCTTGTGGCCCTCATTTTTGGGAGGGCCACATGCTGCGAAAGGATTCGGTGCGGTACGGCGGTCGAGCTCAACAAGTGTGGCGCTCGAGACGATCGCAGCTAGAGAAAGGGCTGCAAGGGCGGTAATGATGTGTTTAGGGAACATGGACTTTGTCGGATGCAGAGCAACAGCAACGAAAATGGGAACTTGAAGGAAGTGATGGATGAATGGATGGGAGGGATTCTGCATTTTTATAGGTGCTGCAGTGGAAACTACAGGACGGATTCGATGTCACTCCATGTTCCAGGTATTCCGCACCAGGGGCTCCGGTTGTTGCTTGCTTAGTTGATGCTCTGTTCCCCCCGGGGAGGTTCGGATGTATCTGATATGCGGAGTCAATAGTGATCGTGTTTGGTGTCTCCGACTTTCTTCCAGGAGTCCGCAGTGTATTTCCCGAGGCGGCTGGAGCGGCACCCGTATAAGAACATAACCAGGTACAGCCTCTGCCGCACCTGCCTTGCCCACTAATTATACTTCGTTTCTTTAACGAGATGACGGGCTTTTGTTTACATTTCCGCAGTTTTGATTCACCCAAAAAAAGAGCCAAGAACAAGCCAAGGATAGGCCAAACAACCGCTTTTGTAGTTTCATTCCCTTCAACAGCTTCAATTTTTCTTGGCTTCTGTTTTGGGCAATCAAAGCTGTTAAGTTGAACAGCAGTTGTAGTTCGTAAGGCGTCACAGCAGTGGTTGAGATTCGAGGAACTGTTAAGCGCAGTTGAATCAGCTCTTTTTTCACTGCGCAAAACTGCACTCCGCCGGAAGTTCTTTACCGGAGCGTAGCGGAGGGATTTATTGTA